CTTTTAGTTCCAATTATTCAACAATACGAAAATCACTTTACCGGCCTAGGCCGGAAAAGTGTTTCCCGTATTGTTATTCATTGATTGCTTAGCAACTATTGAAACATAATTGAAATATCAGAATATTGAGTTTTGCGACCTGTCAACCGTCAAAAATGCTTACATTTCTTGTCAATCGCAGAAAAAGAAACTTTTTGCAGATGCTAGTTTGTTTGTGCAATGAAAGAGTGAGGCGTTCTCTCGCGTCCACTTTTTTGAAACTGGTTCAAAACTGTTTTCAAACAGTACATTCTCGCGATAAACCTATGACGTCACGTCAAATTTGGTTCAAACTGTTTCGAAATACAATCCAATCCACATTTTCAAACCATTTTCTCGCGCCGAGAAATTATGACGTCATGGTGGCAGTACTTAAACCAGTTTTGAAGAATGTTTTGAAACATTTGAGACGCGAGAAAACGCCTCTGGATTTTGTTGGAATTTTCGACATTTTTATACAACAATCGTAAACAGGATTGCTTTTTCTAATAAGGCGTAGGTTCACCAATTCTTGAGCAGGCAGGGTCTGCGAGTGACGTCGCCACAGATGCTAATAGTCATGACGTCACCCGCAGACCTCGATCGAAGGCTTGCGATTCAGGCTGTGCTCGTTATTTGATTTTTTCGTCGATTTTAAATGTTTTAAATTCACTCCAAAAGTTGGGGTATGCAGCTGACATAGCAGTGTAGAGACTTTTAGCTCAATAAGCAGTCCTACTAGGGATTGAAAACAGGATAATCTCTGTCATTTTGTAGAGACCTGAAACCTGAAACTAAGATAATTCGTTTTTTTCCTACGAATGTGCGGAAAAAAAACTTTTGGCATGCACAACAGAGTAATCTTTCCGCACACCCTTGAGAAAAATTGTGTTCCTTAATACTAGCCTAGCCTAGTACTCATAACCGCGAAATTCGATCTTTTTTGACATTGCTTCGACAATTTGACGTTTGATTCACGCATAGAACGTCAAATTGTCGAAGGAATGTTAAAAAAGAGCGAATTTCGCTATTATGAGTACTAGGCTTAACACTTGCGAGAAAAGAGCCGCTTTCCAGTACGGGAGTGTGACACTCGGAGCTACTTGGAGCGCTGAGCTCCCGAGCTATACGTACGGACAAACGTCATGCGTCATGATACTGGAACGGTACAAATCTAGTGCGTGGCGCTCCTGGAGTGCTCTAGAGCGCGCCAATGTGCATACTGGAAAGCGGCTATGGTATTTCCCGCACTTGGAAAAATAAATATTTTTTTTCCGAATTTGATATGAAAAAATGTTCCGCCCTGTAGAGGAGAACAAACGAGTTTCCAGTTCCACACCAACCAAAAGGCAGCTGCCTGCACTAGTGCTTCAAAATACAAAATTTGTAGTTTCAATTTTCAATTCATTCAATCATAAACAGTATAATCAAATTATGAAAGATTATTATATTCTGTGTCCACTCAAAACACAAAAGGCCGGGATAATAATAATAAATAACTGTGGTGGCGTGGCGTGGCGTGGCGCTGATTCCAGTCCAAACATGAAAATGCCAAAAATGGCAACGTCGCATATAAATTGTTTCGGAGCTACCACCAAGCTCGTCGAGGGATAATTACTGGTTGTAGTATGTCAGTGCATCTTTTTCTAATACACGAAAATGAGCATATGGGCAAAACATCAGCGGATTACGATACAATTACCGACACAGTTCTTTCCATTATAAATAAAGGATTATTTTTCCTCATTTTGCCATGGTTTTCTGTGATTTTATTTAGAGGTTTTTTGCAAAAAAAAAGAAAATTTTCACTTGTGCACAAAAGTGTAAATTCTATTTTTTTTGGCATAGGGTCCCCATAAAATTCAAAAATACCACAATCTATCGAAAATCTTCACTGGAGAAATAATATTGAAACTCGAAAACGCCTAAGTTACTTAGTAAATTTTTTAATTGGGGAATTATCTTTAAATAAAAACAAACTTTAGGCGGTACGCGAGCGCGGCGGGCACTCAAACGGAAGGAAAGGAACACAACACAACCTCAGTTATCATTCACCAGTGTTGCCGTTGCCGCGCTTATGACAATACATAATTATCATCACGCAATTATCAATGCACCCTTATTGCAGCTATTTAAATTACAAATCAACGGCCCTCCAAAATACCTTATTTCAATCCACAACACACCATACACAAAAAAAAATTATGATCAAAGGTAGCGCCATCTTTCGGGGACTTTTCAAACTAAAAAGTTTTATATCGAACTTTGCACAATGTCAAATTCAATATATATAATATTTTTCATATTTTATAAATATTGAATTTTGCATGGGTCAAATTCAATATATATATTTTTTCAAAGTTTTATATATATCGAACTTTGCACGGTGCCAAATTCGATATGTATAATATTTTTTCAAGTTTTATAAATATTGAATTTTGCATGGGGCCAAATTCAATATATTTATTTTTTCAAAGTTATTTTATATATATCGAACTTTGCATGCTGCTAAATTCGATATACACTATCGGACAAAAGTAAAGCAACTCTTTTAAAAATATCCAATATTTAATTTTCAAAAATAAAATATGCATTAGCGATGAATGAAATCCTTTCAGTTTAAAAGGTCATAGTAAGCTACAGTGACAGGCTAAATATGATTATTTTCAAATGTCAAATTAACTTGTGTGCAATAATTTATATAAATAATACACTTTATTAGCGCGACAAAAGTAGAGCAACTTTTAAGAAATCAAAATTTTATTGCATTTAACAACACAAAAACAACAACTATAGCTAAAAGCTCATTGAAATAGACAATAATGAAAATAAATAACTTAATAGTTGATAGGATATCCATTGTTGGCTATGACTTTTTGGCAACGGCGCGGCATTGATGAAATTAAATTTCGGATAGTGACAATATTAGTCCAAACCTCGTTGATTTTATCAATTAAAAACTGTTTGTTTGGAAATGTTGTGGTACGAATTTGACGTTCAACTTCTTCCCACAGGTTCTCGATAGGGTTGAGATCCGGTGATTGTGCTGGCCACTGCAGAACTCGGACATTGTTCTCCTGAAACCACCCCTGCACAAGACGAGAGGTGTGCTTGGGGTCATTGTCCTGTTGAAATACGAATCGCAAAGACATTCCCCACTCAGCATAAGGCAACATTACATTTTGGAGTATGTCCCTGTATACCAATCGATCCATCGTCCCGTCTATGAAGTGCAATGGACCTACTCCAATCCATGAAAAGCAACCCCATAGAAACACACTTCCTCTTCCATGCTTTATGGTTGGTATAACATACTTTGGTTGAAACCTCGTATTAGTTGGACGTCTTACACGCCTCATTCCATCAAAATTGAAAATTTTTCGTCGCTAAATAAATTTTTTTCCCAGTCTTGAACTGTCCAATTTAGATGACGTTGTGCAAATTCGAGCCTGGCACGGCGATTTCTTTCAGAAACCAGCGATTTCTTGGCTGGACGTCTGCTGTAAAGCTTTGCTTCAACTAATCTTCGTTGGACAGTCCTCGCACTTACTTCTAGTTCAGGAATTGCAGCAATTATTCTTGGTCCTGACAACCACGGATCTCTTTGGCAAACTCTTTTGATTCTCCTATCCATCCAAAATGTAGTTTTTCTTAACCTTCCTGATTTTGGCATTTTTTCTACATGTCTACGTTCACTGAAACGTGAAATTATTTTGGATACACTGTATTTTGGCAAAAGAAAGTGCCTGGAAATGTCAACCAAACGCCTGCCTTCCAAGAAAGCGTCTACTACCATTTGTTTTAACTCCAGACAAATTGGTTTACCTTTTGGCATATTCAAATCTATCAAAAAGACGAATAATCTTAATTTTTAACTCTATAAATATGTTTTCCATCTTACCTGAAACTCAAATCCCTTCTTTTTGGAAAAAATAAAAAAGTTGCTTTACTTTTGTCGCGCTAATAATGTGAATTGTTCAAATAAATTATTGCATACATTTTTGTTTGACGTTTGAAAACAATTGAATTTCGCCTATGACAGCAGTCAACTACAACCTTTTAAACTGGGATCATTTTAGCTTCCGTTATCAACAAGTGTATTTTTGATAGATGAATATTTTATTTTATAATAAGAGTTGCTCCACTTTTGTCCGATAGTGTAAATATTATTTTTTATTTTAAATATATGCAAAATAGTGGTCATTTTTATCTATATATTGTTTTTCCTGCAAAATAGTTTACATATAAGACGAAATAATTATGGAACATATGGCGCCCCATAGGTTTCCATAAAGTCAACTTTTTATTTTATGTTATGTTATGTTATGTATAGCTGTATAAACTCACCTTAAACTTTCTAGATGAGGTTTAAAAGCCCTTTGTTGCAAAAAAAATCCTTCAATTTTTAAAAGCAAAAAAAAACAAAATAAAAATATGGAAAACAAGAATCAAATTGTACCTAATAAATAATTGATTAATTTAATTATTGTTTCTAACGCCCTCCAATCAACCGCAAAAACGACTTCGATTTAATCAAATGTAAAGCACTTTTGCAAGTCAAAAAAAAAGAAAAAGAAGAAGAAGACGCCGCTAGTCTCGATTATTTTTATTACGCTACCCCAGAAGAATGTCTCAAGGTAGTCTGCCTTGGCCAGTCGTTGACCGTCCTTTACGGGCATATTTGTTTTTGTTGTTTTATTGTGGCGCCACTGGTTTTCCGCATTCGATTTGATTAAACAACACTGTTTAATAAAAAGTCGACGCCTAAAAAATTTACACCCCTAAAAATAAACACAACAATCCAGTGATGTGGTAAGTGGTTTTTACGCAATAATGGGGGTTGAAAATTCCCGAGGGACTAAATAAAGTGCACGTTATGAAAAAACTCGTTTTCAATTTGGAAAACGTTTATTGTTCGGAGGGGCGGAAAATGTGTTGGCAAAATAATTCACAACTCGATTTAATTTTTTTTTTTATTACAGGATTTGACGGGAAGGCCATAAAAGCGTCATTTAACAAGGTAAGTTGTTGATTGGATGATTTTTTTTTTAAAGTCGGGCCTGCCAATGAAAGCCCGTTTGACATTAGTTAGGTGTCAACTTTCAGAAAAATGTATGTCTATGATATATGTCAATATTGTTGCTGTTATTATGATAGAATAATTGAGTGGACTGTATTGTTGATGGTTTATTTTACAATAATTAATAAAAAAAATAGAATTCAATAGAAATGATAATAAGAGCATGTTGTTGCTGTCGGTTGCTCGGAGGGAATCGTCATGGTGCCGCCTTCTGTCGTTTTTCGTTGGTTGCCTTTTCTCTCTCTTCTGGTTATTGACAGCGCGCTGTTGCCAGATGTTTCATTTTTCAGGTGACACAGTGATGACGTCACAACATGCCGCCCGCCTTGAAACTCTGTAGTTTCAATTAGTTAGTTTGTTCTTCAAGAGGGAGAATGCAAATTTTGGTTATAGCACGTTTTACTGTGCCATTTGAAGTCTTGATTGAAACCACTCTCGTCAGTGAATCATTGCCAGGAAATGTTTGAAGGATTCTTCCTAGTTTCCATCCTAGTGGTGGCTGGTTTTCTTCTTTAAGTAAAACTAATTGTCCTGGTTTTATTTCTTGTTGGGACTTCAGTTTCCATTTGGTACGGTGTTGCATTTGGCTAACGTATTCTGAAGACCATCTGGACCAAAAACGTTGAACCATTTGACTAAGCTTCTGGTACTCACTAAGATGATTGATTGATATATCTAGATAAGACGGTTCTGGGAGAGCAGTGATAGGGCAACCGATCAGAAAGTGACCGGGGGTTAATGCTAGGAAATCATCAGGATCCGAGGAAATTGGAAATAATGGTCTAGAATTTAAACAAGCTTCAATTTGAATAATTATTGTGCTGAATTGTTCCAAAGTTAATATTGAATTGCCCATTACTCTCTTTAAATGAAATTTGGCTGCCTTTACTGCAGCCTCCCAAATTCCTCCAAAATGTGGACTTCTTGCTGGAATGAAGTGCCACGAGACTGATTCAGATGAAAGATACTTGATAATGTCAAGTTGAGTATTTTGATCAAAAATCCAAGCGATCAATTTTTGGAGCTCATTATCTGCTCCTACAAAATTGGTGGCGTTGTCTGAAAATACTTTTACGGGCCTACCGCGCCTGCCGATGAATCTTTTGAGACAGTTTATGAAAGCATTTGTGCTAAGATCAGTTACCACATCAATATGGCAAGCCTTTGTGCTGAAGCACACAAAAATACAAAGAAAAACTTTAATTATTTTTGAATTTCTCAGATTACTGACCCTAATTGAAAAAGGACCCGCAAAATCAATTCCTGTATATAGAAATGGTCTAGAGGGGATTACACGTTCTTTAGGTAAATTCCCCATTAATTGATTAATGAAAGTTGGTTTCACCCGAAAGCAAACTGTACATTTTCTAATCACTTTTTTGACCAGATTTTTGCCAGATATGGGCCAATAATTTAACCGAATATTGGCAAGTAGAGCTTGCGGACCAGCATGCAAGAGTTTGTAATGCTGGTGTCGTATTATTAGTTCTGTCAGTACATGATTTGATGCTAAAATGATTGGATGTTTTTGCGAAAAATCAAAATTGGAGTGTTTGATTCTTCAACCTACTCTTAAAATATTATTAGTGTCTAAAAATGGATTGAGAAATACAAGCTTATTATGAGATTTCAATGATTTATCTTTTATCAGACGGTCAATATCATCTGAAAATGATTGTTTTTGACAAAGTTTAATGAGACAATTAAGACCACTGTTCAACTCTTGAATAGATAAATGAGCAGTTTGTTTATTTGCTTTATTTTTACAATTATTTTTGAATCGTAAAACTAAACTTACAATACGTTGTAACTTATTTCATGATGAATACAATGAGAAAATATTGCAGTTATTTACATTTTCAGTTGCTATTAAAGTAACGTTGGAGTTCGTTTTTCATTCTGGAATTTTTTCACTTATTTTTATATTTGATGCAGGCCAGCTTTCTTGATCATCTTTTAACCACACTGGCCCAGACCACCATAAAGATGATGACAAAATTTCTTCCGGTTTCATTCCCCTGGAAATTATATCCGCAGGATTATCCGATGAACTAATGTGATGCCATTGATTTGTTTTTGTTAAGGTTTGTATATGGGACACCCTATTTGCAACGAAGGTTTTCCAATGATAAGGTTCACCTGCTATCCAGGATAAAGTGATTGTGGAGTCACACCAATAAAATGTTTGAGTGATTTCAATCTCTAGCGATGATTTAACTTTGTCAACTAGTCTTGATAAAAGGACAGCTGCACAGAGCTCTAATCGTGGTAATGAAACTACTTTTAGAGGTGCTACTTTTGATTTTGCACATAATAACTTCACAATATGATTTCCTACATCATTCGTGGACCTGATATATACCTACTGCACCACCGTATGCGTCCTCAGAAGCATCGCAAAATGCATGAAGTTGGATGATTGTTGATTTCTGGTGTAGGACATGTCGGGTAATACGCAAGTTGTTAATAATTGAAATTTGGTTTTCAAACTCACACCAAAGTGTATGTAATTCAATTGGCAAAGATTCATCCCAGTTCACATGAATTTTCCAAAGTTTTTGGAGCAAGATTTTTGCAATTAACACACATGGTCTCACTAATCCCAAAGGATCGAATATTTAAGATATTGTAGACAAAATACTTCGTTTTGTGATTTTGTTATTCTTTGGAACTGATACTTGATATTGGAATGTGTCCTGTATTTTGTCCCAATATAGACCAAGTGTCTTGTTGATAGTATCACAAAAGACTATGTGTTGGGAATTTGAATCTACATTAGCAAATTCAGTGGCCAATACTTGCTGGTGATTGGATGACCACTTTCGTAAGTTGAAACCGTGTTGTGATAAGACTTGTTGAATTTGAATTTTCAGGTCAATTGCTTCTTGTATTGTTTCAGTGCCTGAAATTAGGTCATCGACATAAAAATCACGTTTTATAACCTTGGCGGCTAAAGGGTATTCTTTTTCATGTTCCGATGCAGCTTGCTGTAAGGACCTTATGGCTAAAAATGGTGCGCTAGCCGTTCCATACGTTACTGTGTTCAATTTAAAATGCTGTAAAGGTTGAGATGGATCTGATCGCCAGACGATTCTTTGCAAATCCCGATGACTTTCCTTTATAAGAACCTATCTGTACATTTTCTCTACGTCGCTTATCAAGACAATATTATGTTTACGGAAACGCACTAATATTGAAAATAATTCTGCTTGTATGGTTGGACCTACTTTCAGTTTGTCATTCAACGATATGCCAGAATCTGTCTTGGCAGAGGCATCAAATACAACTCTTAATTTGGTGGTAGTACTTGTTTCCTTTACAACTCCATGATGCGGCAGATAAAAGTGAGTGTTATTTGGTTTCAGTTCATTTTTTGATATTTTGCTCATATGTCCTAGTTCTTCATATTCCTGCATGAATGCTATGTATAATCTTTTCAAATTTTCATTTTTCTCTAATTTCTTTTCTAAATACTGAAATCTTTTTAGTGCTCTTTCAAAAGAGTCTCCTAATTCTTCTATACCGTCTTTGATAAGTAGTGGCACTATAAATCTCCCTTCTTCATTTTGTTTTATAGTATTTTGTATTTCTTTTTCACATTCTTCTTCTTCATTGCTCAAGTGAATCTTATTGTCATAATTTTCTAGCTCCCAAAATCTCTGCAGTTGTTCTTCTAGTTGTAATTGCGCAAAATTGCACACGCTAGTGCTTTGATTTATATTGCACGGTACTTCACCCGAAATCACCCATCCAAATTTTGTTTTTTGCCACATGGCCTTTTGGCCTTGAATTCGTATTTGACCGATACACAATAAATCATAGAAAATTGACGCCCCAAGCAAAATGTCAATTTTACCTGGCACATTAAAGCACTCGTCTGCAAGAACTATATTTTGTGGTATCACTAAGTCAATAATATTCACAAATTTCACGGGTAGATTTTCTGTTATTTTTTCTAACACCAAAAAACTTGTATCCTGATAATAAGAATTGAAGCGGGATCTTATTCTAGATTTTGTTGAAAAATTAATTTTTGTTGTGTTAGAATTTATTCCGGTAATTGGTACATTCGTTTGTTGTCTTTGTAAACCTAACTTGTCACAGAGTTTACGAGTCATGAAATTTGATTGAGACCCCGAGTCTAAAAGTACCCGAGCATCATGAAAATTACCTTTGTTGTCACGAATTTGTATTATTGCTGTTGATAATAAAATTTCAGAAAACCTTGAGATTACTGAATGAGATGCCAAGCCACTAGGTATAAGACTTTCATTGATGCCTAATGTTTGATTCCTTGATTGAATAAGTGATTGGTATTGGTCTGATTGATTAAGTGGTTGACAATTATTGTTGCTGATTTGGTTTGAAGATTGTGATTCATTCGATTGATTTGTCAAATGAAAATTGTTGGATTGATTTGATGATTGATTCTGATTTGATTGATTTTGATTTGATTGATTGAGTAAGTGAAACTGATTGTCTCCTGTTTGATTAGCTGATTGTGATTGATTTGTTGAATGATAATTATTAAATTGATTGGCTGATTGACCCTGATTTGATTGATTGAATGAATGAGACTGATTGTCTCTGGTTTGATTGGCTAATTGTGATTGATTTGTTAAATGATAATTGTTTGATTGATTGTATGATGATGATGGATTGTTTTGATTGTTTGATTGTGATGTATGATTATTATGTAAGAGAGAATTATGTTTTTCATGACAATATTTGCAACCATGTGCAAAACATTTATCATAAGTATGGTTTGATCTGAAACAATTAAAGCATAGTTGTAATTTTTTGATTTCAGCAATCCTTGATTTTATTGACAAACCCAGAAATTTGGCACAATAGAACAACAAATGATTTTCATTACAATATAAACATTTTATCTTGGTAACTTTATCATTCGCTTGGCCAGAATTAAAAAATGATTTTCG